AGTTGATGTGTAATCTACCTTTCACCAGGAAGTGTGCCGCGCCACGGGCGTTTTGAGCAAGGACATGACCCCTCTGTGTTGTTGTTGTGCACATGGTTTGTGTGTCTGAGGCTTCTGCTATCCAAAGTGCACCTTTTATAGTTAGCATATCTACAGCTTGGCAACAGATTTACTTTAGCCCTAGTTATTAGATGAACAATCTCTTTTTGGGAAATTTCTAAATGTGGTCAAGATGAGGCCAAAGCCCTGTCCAGGTGGCACTTCCTATAAACAAGACAACTACCATGTATTACTTTAAAAAGTCTTGCGAAGTTAATGTTTTTTAACAAGATGATGATCTGATTTCCACACACTGAAGACCCACAGAGATTTGTGTGGCTTATGTGCCCGCCTTCCTGTTTGAGCTTTCAACAGCAATAATGATGATCGTCAAGCTCACTAAAAAAAACATTTTCTCAATATAAAAATAATTGTTTCCTTCAAAGTGCGACAACCATGTGAAAGAGTCTATGGAGATAACCATTGGCACTTTCTTACTGTATTTCTCTGAAATGTCATCAATGTATATTAAACCAATCCCCCAAAGCAATTGTGTATAAAAAAGGGTGGAACATGTTACATTTGGAGATTTTTTGGCAAACATTTGGATAAGCACAATACTATGAAATGATCCTAATGATCTAAAAAAACGAACCTTTTCTGAGCAAGCGATTGGAATAAGTGTTATTGGAGCATTATCATTAGTTAATGCTGAACACCTACTGTATATGTTAAAACACTGTTCAGAAACAGTACTGGTGCATATCATTGGTTTTAAATGTGTCCCTAGGCAAACACATCTAAATTAACCTGCATGCAGCATATCCTTTTGCCGATAAGGCATTTTAAAAAAAAAATGCTCCGCAGGAATATTTGTATACTTCATCATGTATCTATGACGCCCCAATGTTTAGTATCTATATTACATCTGAAACAGAAAACAGTAAACCACACCATAGAAGCTGGAAGCTTGTTGGGGTACTTTTATTTAGAACATGCTGTAATGCCACTGCCTGTTTTCCTATCCTGTGGTGCCTCAACAGTAGCCAGAGATTACGAGAGTGAAACACAAGTAGTTTGCTGTGGTGGTAGTGGCTTCCCTCTAACACACATTTATTACGTCTAAAAATACTAAGTGGTTCTCTAAAAAGAGTGTAGCTCCTGTTCTGTCCAACTACGTCAATTTAAAACATAATGCTTTCAGACTCATTGACAAAACATGTATCTAACATTTTTTTTAAACTCCAACTGAATCCCTGTTTGAAGCTCTGCACATTGACCTTTTTCCATTTATGTGTGTTCACATATCCATATCATGTCCTAAACGTATGCAAATCAACATTTGGTCACTTGAGGTTGTTGCAGGGTGGTGTTGCTAGCAGCATGTCGTATGACTTTGAGCTTCCTTTTAAATGAAACCACAGGAGAAAAAGCTACTGCAGTATTCATTTACCTTTCCTACCAGTTGTTTCTTTTTCACCCCACCATCATTTATGCAAGCGTCTAAAGACTTATGGAGCTGCCCTGACCTATCCTTGCACAGGTTCTAGGCCAGCGGCTTCTGCTCTTCTGCTTAAAGTGGACCTATCATGCTATATTTGAATAATGTATTGTAGGGCCATACCTATATAAGGTATATTTATACGTTTTCTTTTTCAAAATACCAAGCAGATCATGCATTTTAGCCATGCCTCATTTCGCTCTATTTTGCTCTCCTCCACCATGTCTTTGCATGCGCTGCAGCTGACCATGCCCCCCTGCAAAGGAGGGGGCCGAGTTACGAGCGTCATGTTACCATGCTGTTACCATGCCACGGCAACCTCTCATTCCCCTGATAGGTGGAGAGTTGGCCATATAGGCGGAGCTCCTCCGTCCTGACGTCAGAGAAATGTGCAAATCTGGATCAGTTTTTATCAGATCCGTTGCAGCCCCGTTTTTAGAGATTTGGGTATGGAGGAAAATAGAGAGGGTTGTGTTTTCTGACACTTGAATTCCCTGGAACACCGGGGACACATATTCATGTATAAAAGACGTACAAAAGTGCATTTTGCATGATAGGTCCCCTTTAAACTCTGGTCTGCTGCCAGGAGGCCAAGTTATGTCACCCATTAAATGTCTTGATGTCTTTTTCAAACTGGAGACATGGGGGGCTTTTTTTCCTTCTTTCTGTCATGCATCTTTTAAGGGGACATTCATCTGAAGAAATGCAGCCTGGCTATGTCTTCAGTGATATTTATATTCGGCAGTGTTTTCATTTACATAAAGCCTAGCTAATCAGTTTTTGCAACAACAGTGAGGTAATGTCTCGACAGGGAAGCACAATTAAAACATCTCCATTCCTATAAGAGGCAGCCGATCAATAACGTCTAGGAATGGCAGACTTTTTTATGGAGAGTGTTTGGCAAGGAGCTGTAAGGTTTTATTTGTTTTTCTTAAAGATTGTCCTCTCTTTAAAAGCAAAGGAGGCCTCATAGTCATTTAAAAGTTGCCTTAATAAACGTGGGTGCAGCTGATAAGCCTCCATGTTGCTCTATGCAACAGTATGTGTGAGAATAATATATCTCACTCGCTTCCAGCTTGTCTGAACATACTGTAAATCTGTCAAACAACATTTAGGGAACTGTTGACTGTGTATGTTGAATTCAATTTCCAGTTTTAATCTCAGCTGTTTGTCTGGATGCCTTAGAGATTCATCAGAGGTAGTCATCAGGATGGATTCCTCTGAGCTCTCAGTGACACAGCACACTGTGTGGTTGTAAGGGGAGGGGCACGTCTCGAGGTAGGCAAAGGCCTTTGGACATATTTATTTTTCTCCTGTGAGCCTTTTGACCAAGCTCTCCTCGTCAATCTTGTGCTGTCAAGAAGGGCCAGAGGTGGGAGCTCCCTTCTCTCCTCTCTCACAGGGACACTGTGTACACAGGGACCCCGGGGTCAGACCCTGGATTCTCTTTAGGTAGCTGTTGTAAAATCCACACTGTACGTGAAGGGAGAGGTGCTGGGAGATGTCCAGTTTGTATGCTCTCACCCGCCTTAACCTTCTTCGTTGACTTTTATTTCGTTAACACTCGGTCTAAATATAATTACATTTTAAGGGACAGACAATAATCTATCTCAAATCTATTACAGATCTTCCATGTCTTCATCTCATCCCCTTGCTTCCTCTTAAGGATCAACTGTTTGTGCGATTGACAGCTGAAGGACAGACTTCCCCCTCTGCAGAAATCTTTACATGTAGCTTTAGGGATGGTTGGTGGGGGGTAGAGGCGACAAGGAGAAGAGAGCAGAAATGAGGATAGAATGACCTCATCAAACCACGTTTTTACATGTGTTCCTCCATCTGACGCGCGTATGTTTCTGATCTTACCGGTTTTCTGGAAGAGGAGAATGTTTCCTGTTTGAGCAGACTGGCGGGGTTCACCTAGAAGTCGGGGGGGTCGGGTTGCTCAGCCAACGTCTGGTTCTGTTGAAGCAGATTCCCCACATCTCCATCAAACAGCAGCTCTGTTTTGGCACGGCTCTGAAAACTGACCCTGGTGGTCACTGATGTCTGGGAGTGTGCGGAAATATCGAGGCGGCAACACTTTGCTGCTCATTTGGTTTCCCTCCATTAAAGAGAAGCAATGGCATCTCATAGCAACCACTGCTAGGCAGAGGAAACAAGTATTTTTTATTTCAATGTATTAATCTAAACGCTACAAGTGGGCTGCAGTTAAAACCAAAACCACATTTCCAGGAGTTGTTGTAGTAAACACAAATCTTGAACATTTTCCAAAGATACGTGAACATTGACACTGAATATTTGTTTATCCTCTCATCTGTTTATATTTGCTTCTCCCCAAGTTTTAATGGCATGCACAAGCACACCTGGAGAATGTGCGCACAGATGTAGCAGTTGGTGTACACTTGAATGTGTTTTCCTTCCTGCCAGACTCTTTAATTGAACAGAGTAACAGTGGGTTGAACAGGGTCGTCCCCTGACAAGAGAGGTGTGTGTGTGTGTGTGTGTGTGTGTGTGTGTGTGTGTGTGTGTGTGTGTGTGTGTGTGTGTGTGTGTGTGTGTGTGTGTGTGTGTGTGTGTGTGTGTGTGTGTGTGTGTGTGTGTGTGTGTGTGTGTGTGTGTGTGTGTGTGTGTGTGTGTGTGTGTGTGTGTGTGTGTGTGTGTGTGTGTGTGTGTGTGTGTGTGTGTGTGTGTGTGTGTGTGTGTGTGTGTGTGTGTGTGTGTGTGTGTGTGTGTGTGTGTGTGTGTGTGTGTGTGTGTGTGTGTGTGTGTGTGTGTGTGTGTGTGTGTAGCCTTGTCCAGACTAGTTCCTGTCCTGCTAATAAAAGAGATCTCTTTTTAGTTTCGGATACTGATCTCTCCACACAAGTTTAAAGATCTCATTCACGGTTCACACTGCATTTGCCCCCTAATGTCTCACAGCAGTCCCAGGCCGTGATTCATGGAGTAACAGGTCTGCCACAAGGGTCCGGTCAGGCGGGGTCCACCATGCACACAAAAACATGTTGCACCAGTGCTTAAATGCATGCATCGAAACTCTCCCATTACCATTCACACATTTTCTCATGTAGACTTTTATCACTTATGACATAATTACATTACATCATAAAAGTACCACCATGTGGGGTTGTATTATTAGTTGGTACTCAGTCCCTTTAAATAAAAAAAAAAAACGTTTTTTTGTCTTTCTGAAATATTGTTACATTTAGCTTCATCTAAAGATCTTAACATGTTTCATAGACCAGAGCTGTATTGTGACAGCATTTGTTGTTTTGTGCTTCAGCATGTGAAGCTGTACCGCACATGAGAGTGTTCTTGCAAAGACCCAAGAGTTTTTTCGACAAACATTCACTTTTTGGGTTTAACTTTTTGTGATTCCATGTGCAGATAATCACTCCATTGGCACCACATGCATTTGTTTTTGTTTTCTAAAGAATTAATTGTTTTGTTTGTCTTGTTTTAGTGTTTCCGGGCACTGTGCTGTAAAGGACCCCCGCCGCCAAGACCGGAGTACGATGTGGTGTGCATCGGCCTGACAGGTGCTGGAAAGACCAGCCTGCTCTCACGCCTCTGTAGTGAGGGCAGCGACGGCATCGTCCCCACAACAGGTCTGTACACGCAACACGGATCAGGAAGAAAGAGAACCTTTTTTCATAGTAAAATGTGTGTACTTAAATAGAAGCATACACTCCCCTCAGATGTGCTCTTGAAAGCTTTTCATGCTTCTGAACTGCTTTCATGTTTCAAGAACATGCTGTCCTCTAGATTATAATCATAGATAGATACTTCTATCAAGGTATTACAGCTCTCCAATAGGGGGAAGCAAGTCTTCAGCAAGTCTTCCAAAGTCCCAGTGCTCATGCCAGAAATGCTCTGCTGTATCTCACCGGCCAATACTTCTCTCTTGCAGTCAAGAGGCTGCTGTTGCGTATGTCCAGATGAGCAGGCTTCAGGGTTAGCACATCATTTTCTTGGTAGTCAATACTCTGCTTTCCATAAACGCAAGGCAATCCCTCAAGGACTCTGACATTCCTTTCTCCTCCCCTGGCTTTGACAGCAGTCGGGTTAGAGCCTGAGCAGAAGTCCCGTTTTAGATTTAGTCCTTTTGCACTTTGACTAGGAAAAAGCTAAATATAAAGTGATTCCCTAGTGTGTTACCTGTAACCCTTAGTGTGTGCGTGTGTCTCTGTGGCCGGGGGAACACCTGTCTGCTGCTCAATACGCCTTAATAAATGAAATATGTCCATTACTTACTTAAGAGTAGAATTATTTTAGCTCTCTTCTCTGAAACGAGATTTAGCTGTCAGCACTGTCTGTGTCTGCCAACATCTACAGAGGGACCATCATGATGAACAATGAGGGGGAAGTCTCCTGCGGTTCCCCCCACCACTTACTTCATGGTTGTGCAATGTCGTAATGTGCTTAAAAAACACATTTAGCAGTTAATTCAGATGTTTGAAAAATCCTAATGACATGTCTTTCCCATCTCTCCTCCTGTTTGTGAACGTTTCCAGGAAAGGAATTCCCACCAAGACAGTTGACATGAATTGAGCAACATTAAATCTCTTCCTTCATTGGGTGTCTTTACTATTTCCCACCCTATGCAACCACAAAACCATAGTAGCGCTTTACACATAAGCTCTATCTTCCTCTAACTCCAACGTTGAACAAAGCACTGTTTGGCTTTTTTTGTTTTTCCCTTTTCTAACCCGGACCACACAAAGTGTTATTTTCGTTCGTTTTTTGCAACACAAATATGTTGTCAGTACTCTGTGTGTTCACCAGCTGGCGATTTGGAAAGGTACACCAAATGTCCTGGGGAAACTGAACGCTACATATGTTTTCTGTTTTAAATAAGTTCAATTTGATTTTTCTCACTATTTAAATGCAATCCAACCAGCATTCCTAAAACTTAATTGGCACACACACTCACACACACATACACACATACATATCACATAAGTTCTTTATGTCGTTACAATGATGGATTTTATTTTCCTCCCTCAGGTTTCAGCATAAAGGCAGTGCCATTTCCAAATGCCATCTTGAATGTAAAAGAACTTGGAGGTAAGACATGCTTTAGCCTTTCAAAATGTAATTGTAAATGTTTTCACTTCTGTCACAGCATGAGTCTGTGAGTAAATCTGTGTTAGGTGGAATATAGTTACCTAGCATGACATTTCCTTAGATCTTCTACCAGTTAGGAAACACTTTTTCTGACATCCAATCCTATCTCTCGATTTGAACTGTTTACACTGAAAACTGTGTACACCAAGGATGCAGAAGCATGATTGTTTTAAACCCGGTAGCATCACACCTTTTTGTACAGACGTCAGACCAGTAAGTGTTTTTGGAAGTGGCTGTACAATCTGCTGCCTCTTATTCCTGGAAATGCAGAGCACTCGAGGAAGCGGTTTAATAAGCACAGATGAGGGAACTTGAGGTGGAGATACATAAACAGAACAAATGCAATGGGAGGCTTCCAGTCCTTAAAGGGAGTCCTCGAACAGGGATAAATCAGGGCTGTCCGTTCTCTTACAAACAACAAGAAAATGTTTTGTTTTTGTGTGCATTATAGGCACATGATAGGTGCAGTGAGTGTTTTGAAGGCTCACCCATCCTAAACTCCTGAAAAGATGAAAAACATACACACACACAGACATTAACACACACACTGAGAGGCACCGGGGGACCACCAACGAGGGTGCTACCAAATTTGGACAGAGCGCATTAGAGGGTTTTCAAAGGGAGTTGTTCTGGATTGGTTCAAAGCCAGTCTGCTGGGAGGTTATTGTGGTTGGGAAAACACTGGTTCCACGGGTGACATTTGATTTAGATAAGTTAGTATAGGCTGCCACCACAGAAAAGGATGAAATCTGTTCTCTTTTTCTCTTTGCCCCCTCCTTGGAGTCTTGCTCCCCTGCTCCTTTTCTTGTAAATACACACAGTGGGAGAATTGTAGTGTGATTTATGGGGCCATTCGTTGTGGATGCGTTGGTAAAAACAAGAACTTGATGTTTTGACTGTCCTTATATTTTGAGCCCAGTATCAGATTGAGATTTTCTATGAAATGTTGACATGCGTAATGTGGTTTGTTGTGACCTGAATAAAGGTGGGCTCTTCCTGTTCCAAATGTTGCTGACGTAAATGAGTCAGGAGAGTTTGTGCTCTTGCAAAATGTTCCACCAGTCAGTTCTCATAATGAGCCTTTTAGATCGTTTTATGATTAAACCAGCCCCTTTCCGGGGTCGGTTTGTAACTTTCTAAGCTCTTCCCATTTCTATCAGTATACAATATTTCTCTTCTTTCCTTTCGGCTTTAAAACAAGCAACCATGCCCGGTATAGTTATATGCTATTTTTCACGGCATCAATGATGACACAAGATGTGACGCACAGAAATCAGTACTCCTGACCCCAAAAAACCTATATACATACCTGTGAGCCTCTCCGCTCACACAGGGTTCAAAGAGGGACGGAAGGAGCAGGGTTTGGGTGTAACACAGGGGTTTATTGTTTAACAAACACAAAACACGTCGCCCGTGCGGGCTTCTTCACGGGTCCTTTTGCGTCCTTCCAGGATCCAGCCTACTGCAAGACAGACCAGAACCAGGTTACCACATGCTTTTATTCAGTGACTGATAACCTGATTCTGATCAGCTGTCTGGCCTCTGGCCGAGCCACTCCCCTCACTCCAGCAGCCGGCGCCCTAACCACACCCCTAATCACAATACCTTTGTGGCTTGTTCTCTTCGCTCTGACCTAACTAAGGCAAGTGAAGCACTTCCCATGTACTTCCTTCCTCTCCCGCCGGAAAGCCCATTCAATGTCAATGAGGTATTCTTCCTTTACAGTTAGAAATGTAAAGCAAGTCTTACTTATGCAGGTGACTTTAAGTGCCGGAGGCTATTTAAGGCAAAGATGCTTATGAATGAACTATTTGCCAGCATTTGCTCCTTCTGGTAAAGCAAGTACAGCCGATAAAAGACATTCAATTGTTGCACACAAAAAACAAAGTCTTCACATATTCTAGATGCACTTATTTGGTCCTTGCTGTTTGCTTCGCAGGGGGAGCCTGATTATTGCTCAACCTATATTAAACAAAAGTGTTTTGAGTCTTCAGGGAAAGGGGCTCATGGGAAAAGAAAGTGTTAAGGCACGCAGAGAGATCAGCAGATAGTGACCCCAGCAAGGCATTTTCAGCCACCCTGTTATTCAAATGTGCAGGTTTTGAACCCATGTAAGAGTAGTTGACTGTGACTTTTATAGATGCTAAGCCTGGTAATGCATTTTGAACTCTCCCTGCCTCAAGTGCACTTGTCCAGATTGTCATAAGCGCAATCTGTCCTTTAAACCAGAGGCAGAAAGCAGCTTATGTGATGTATGGCTCCGCTCATGATTTAGACCATCCTATACATCTGTGTCACTCTTGTATTTGTAATTGAGGTCCCTGCTCGCTGTTTTTAATTTATTCTCTTTCTGATCTTCACCTCTGGTTTTAGTTTTCCTCCTCCACCATTCCCTCTTCTTAAGGGGGAAACAGTTCACATACATTGAGTAAAGGATTAGGAAAAACCTTTTATAAATGGTTACATTTGTTCTTTAGGAACTTTGTTTTCTAACTGGGTTTTCACATATGTGCATTTCTTTTTAAACATGCAGGTGTCACTAACTGGAATGTCGCAGGGTGAAAGGGAAAGTCAATTAAACCCAAGGTTCAGCCTAAGCTTATGCTGAAAATATTTCGTCTAAATAAACCGGTTTCCACAGCTGAACGTCAGACTATTTTTATAAATCATACACCTGTGCACGCTTAAAGACAAACTGTGTGGTCCCTCACTACAGAGTCTGTCCTCTGTCACAGCGGTCAGCTCAGAGCTCCAAAAAAACAACAATTGCGTATTATTGGTGCACTCGGAGTATGTCAACCTTGGTTTAGAAATATGGTAGACATTAGTGGAGAAATGTTGGTATGTGTGTTGTAAAAGAAGATAGAAAATGATCATGTGCTCAGTCATAGCCACTTACTTTAATATGATTCTGTCCAAGACACCTGCATTTCAAATGTACTTAATTAGTTAAATGTAATCAGACATTAAATAAATACCCCTTAATAATTCTGCATTTATATTCTAAGCTTATCAGCGTGCAGAAATGGGCATTCTTTTTTTTTTATTCAGCAAGCAGTAATATCGTTATACGAGAGCTTTTTATACTTATTGGAATAAAGTATAATAAAATATTTCCAGTTGGTTGAAATTGATAATTTTGCATCTTGCGATCTTTCATTCTTGAAGTCATTTGCTACCCAGCTGAGGCCAGGTATGGGGATTAGGTGGGAAGGGCACCTCCGGGGACACGGGGAGGAATATATTAAGTGTGTGTAGGAGTGTGCAAATGTGTGTGTGTGTATACGTCTGAACAGTTACATGACGTCAAGTCTAGACTGGCCATTTCACAGTGTGCATGCAATGACAGCTGATGGGAAAGTAGTCCTTATAATCATCACCCGTTGCTGCTGAGGCTTTCGATTTGAAGCAGACAGATTTTTTAGATTCCAGTATTTTTCCAGTATACAATTGTGTACAGACGGGCTTATGAAACTTTTGATTAACATTTTATGCATGCAGTGTGTATACATGTCATCTTTACACAGAGTTCAAACTGTTTTTGGTACATATGTAGAGCCCAATTTATCTATTTATTTATTTATTTATACATTATGCATTTATGATGTATGCATACAAAGAACATCACAGAAAACAAGCAAAATGCAAAAACATCCCAATAAAACATTTACCAGGTGCCTGTGACCACCAACAGGCAAAGAGAGTATGTGAGCACGTCTCAGAGCGAAACATCATATTGTCCTCGCAGACACAATGTGCTTCTTGTTATTATCAAATAAGACCACACTGTGGGTCTGACACGAAAGCTTCTACTTAGTATTGGAAAATATTTGACCAAAAGTGAGATCATTTGTTGATTGTCAATTGAGTTTAAAGCAGATGCTGTCGATGCAAACTGGACTGATTTGAAGTTCTGAGGTCAGATGTGTAACTGATCTCCATTTGAGGTCTCTTTCAAGAATTGTACCCTACTTGATGTTGGGTCTTTTGTTGATAGTAGGTAAATGGTGCGTTTATAGATACTGTAAGGAAGAGCCCAGTATCAGTTGGATTAACCAACTTTTGAAGTTAACATAATCAAATTCGTTCGAGCATTAGGTTTTCTATCTTAAAAATACAGTTACAAAGTGGTTCAGTAGGGGAAGTGTCCAATGACAATGAGGACATATACATGTGCATATGATGTCATTATACAGGCACAGCAGCATGTATGTGGATTAGGTAAAGATTAAAATAAATAGAAAGGTCGGAATGATTAATTATGACTTTCAACCCGGTGCATTACGTTTCTATGACCAAAAACAGCTGGATCCTAGTTGCACAGTTTAGGAAAATGGCTGAGTGGCAAAGAGCAGAAGCTAAATTGTTCACATAAAGTACATCAACATACAATTTTTTTTTGTGAACCAAATTTGTCAATCATGTGTACAGATCGATTTGATGTGTGTTTCAGTCTGAGCCGCACACAGCACGTGTTTCCTAAAAACCGACACTGCTCACACTGCAGGTTGATGATGTATCAACAGCTGAAGTGTTTTCCACCTCACTGCAGCCCCAGCCCATTCCTCAATGAAGTAAGCTAACTTTAGTCCATGTGCTCCTTCCCATCACCGTATTGTAGCTGTTTTGTTCAGAGGAAAAACAATGTCTGTTTTTCGTTATGGAGACTTCAAAGAGGGTTGCTCTCGCTTTTTCAACTTTCAAGACCTGATTGGCAACATGTTTGCGTTTTGTTCAAGGTAATAGCTCGCAAAAGAATGAACGATGGGAGGAATGTATGAGAAAGTGTTCAAATTTAGAAAGCCAACAGTGAATCTGAAATCATACCTGCATCGATACGCAACAACGAACCGAAAAAGACTAGGCGAAAGCCTTTTTTGGCCGAATGGAAAAACAGGGAGGTAGGTTTGTACTATGATCTACCAAAAGCTGAATCTGTGTTATCGGACACACCAGTGATCCAACACAAAAGAAAATATATCACATAAAGAAAATCTAAATTCAGAAGTCTGCAGAAAACCATCTGTTTTGAATCTCTGCAATGTAATCATTGTTGATGTTTTACTGGCAGATGTCTTAAAGTTTTGTTTATTCATTCGTAGTCACACTTTAAGTGTAGACATAAAAGTAACATGGTCACTGAAGCATCGTTGTCGCTTTTGCTTGTGTAACCAGTAGACTTTTCCCATTCTTTTTTCTTCGAGCAACAGCCCAAGACCTATGCATGATCAACTAGTTCATAAAAAAGCAGTAAATTCTCAGACGTTTAAAGCTGGATCTAGGAAATATTGAAATTTAATTAATGTAGTTTTCTAAAGGTTTGCTGTCTGACAACACAAGAGAAAAAGAATATCAAGAAATGTTTAATGGCCAGGGAAAGTTGTCTGCATCAGTAATGAGGGGTAGCCCTGGTCAGTGTTTCACATTACAGTTGCCTGTAGCAGTTGGCTATGCATACACAATGAATCATCCAATGCCTACGAAGCACAGCATAACCACAATCATTAAGATTCCAGTCTCAGGGACCTCAAACCATGCATACATGTTAAACATCCATATTGTATGCAGAACATTAAATAAGTCATTACACTCGTTGTTTCAGCTTGTCTTCATTTGCTACAGAGGGTTGAAAAAGTCTTGCTTGGTGTTGAGGGAGGGAGGGAGGGAGGGAGGAATGGATGGCTGCGCCTCGGTGAGGTGTTTACCTCAGATCCGGTTTCCATCCAACTGATCCCAGAGAGGGTTACTCTCTGACATCACAGACTGACATCATCCGAGTGATTTTTCCACGAATTAATATTATCAGAAATGTCGGAAACATAACATTGATATATATATTCTTATGTCATGGATGTTTAAAATATATTGTCTGCTGTGTTCACACGTGCACATTTACAAGGACATTTTTTCCTCTACATATCTATCTTAGATATTTTTGGAGAGCTGTCGTGAAGTTTATTAGATAACCAATTACCACCATGTTATTAAACATTCAGTTTTTGACTTATTCCCTCAAAACTGAAGAGCAAATACCCCATTGCTGACTCATCATTTTGCATCAACATTTAACCACTCAAATGGGGATTAAATCCATAATGGAAAAGCAAAGAAAAAGAGATTTATTGGGCCAAGGCGCCTCAGAAGACAATTATGTAATGTAGCCACAATATACTGTATGTTTTATGATATTTTGTTCTGACTGGAAATTGTTGCTCTTTTGCCATTACTCACATGATAGCTTGCTTTGTTGCTCTCTGCACATTGAACAGTCCAGGCAATGGAAAGGATGTTGATGTCTATTCTGGGAAATGGAAGTCGTAACTTGTTCGAAGACACGAGAAGTTTAGGGAACGCAAGAAAAATATTTAATAATTGTAAATCTTCAAAGTATTGTGGATTCTTCCATCAGGTGCACCCAACCAAACATGCCAGACGATTGGACCGTACTGTGTACAAGAAGTTCATTCCAATTATTTGTTCAAGTCCATTTTAAAACATAGGCAATTGTTTTTGCTTGCTCCCACAGTCTAAACCCATATATTGAATGAATGGGTCGATCAATCATCCAGACGACTTTAGAGACAAGACTTTCACTGACATGCTATTTTTACCTCTTGTGCAGTTGACCTTTGGCTAATTATGTCTTGGGAAAATTCAAAAGTGTAAAACGTAAGCTTTTAAACAATTACAAACTATATATAGATGACATACATTGGGGTTTAAGGGTTGTAAAAGTAGTGAGGAAGTGATAAAACAAAGCAAAAGAAGTCTTACTCATGGTGCACTTATTTGTTTAATGCTATGTAGTAGGGCTGCCAGCAGCATCCCCCGAGAATCATTACGTCATGTTTGGAAATCCTCCTGTCAGGCCAATAGGTGGCAGAAGATGCCAATGAGATCCAATGACACTTGATGGATATCCCATCATTTCCAGGCAAAGATGAGGGAAACTTCCTAGGCAATCGCCCAAGTGCCACTTTGTCTGATAGCTTTCCACTCCAGTGTGAGGTGAGAAAGAAAGAGGTAGGGAGAGCATGAGGGAAGGGAGGTAAAATGTCACTGAGAGATGATGATGTTTAAACATTTGCCAGCCTCACAGTTCGTCACATCTTGGCCGCGACATTACTATGAGCAACAATAACAAAACAACATTTCACAAGATTGCAAAGGAAGTAACCTCACCGGACGGAAACGGATTGTTTTAACGACAGAAAGTAAAAACCTTGTAAAAGCAATTGCATTTACTTGTGTTTGCAATGAGCTTAGGAGCCTCTGTAGTTGTGTGTATGTGGTGCAGAGAAGTTTGGTGCGTGTGTAGAACAAACACTTTTCAACGGTTTAATGGAAAACATCTTGTAAAAAGTACAGCATTCCACTCTTTAATGAAGTGTAATCGAAGTGTAATCGAAGTGTACGAGCAGATGACAAGATAATTGTTTGTTGTTTTTATTTTAGAAGATTAAAATCTGAAAGTACAATGCCGTATTTACTATAATACGAGGTGTATTTGAGATGAAAAAGAAACGTGTTGATTCACACGTCTGGTTCATGAGTTAACTCTAAATGTTCTCTATGCTTATACCTACAGAGTACACTGTTTATAATTCTTCACTTTTTTTTAAAGAGCACATTTAACCCACTTTTTTAAAATGATTAACCTTTTTATTTCCCATGTTTAATGATAATCTGCGATACTACCTCTAGTGACACCTCCTGTTTGTGGTTTAAAATGTGTATTTCCCTTATGAAAGAAGATCAGCAGCTGTGGTAAACGTGTGTTCATTTACAATAGATTCCAAAATGCACTGGTAAAGCAGCATGAGTAACACGGAGGAAGTGAGTAGCACATCGTGGTTTGTGGTGGTGAGTGATTTTGTCGGCATTAATGAAGAGAGGGCAACAGAAGAAGCTGTCATCTGGCATTCATTCCCAATCTTACAAAGAACAATTTATCTTCCCGGGTTGAATAGTAATAGGATAAAAATGTTCTATAGAAGCACAAACTAACCTCTCTCACTGTTGGTTAAGTGAAAAAGATTGGAGATGTGATTGTAAAAGGATGAACACTTTTAAGATGACATTAAGCCATATTTAGTGTTGCAGCTCAGGTAGAAAATTGCTATAGTTTAAGGAAAGGTCCTAAGTAGGGAACTGACCCCAACAAGGTCTGCTTATCCCGTGGAAATGTGTTGCTTTAGTTGAGGAATTGTTGTGGGGTTAGGGTTAGTGTCTACATATCCTATGAAGCACATGGGATTTGGCCAGATCCTGACCAGGTATCATTACATTGAGGAAAATGTGCATTATTTTGTCTTCAAGATCAAAATAATGTCTAAGAAAATGTATTTCCTTCACAAAAGCATTGGCTACACTGTCAGTAAGGAGAGAGGAGGGGCCGGTAGTGGAAGCAGAGGAGGTGTTGGGGACTCTACTCACACATTTTGTTAGGATATAGATGCCTCCTCTAATATCTTACATTACATAACAAATAAAGTTGCTGTGAATAAACCATTTTGATTAACACACTTGCTACAAGTTAGCACACAAAGAAGGAGCCACATGTGTTCATTTTCAAGTTAATGTCATTGTGACCTTTGAATAATCCAGTGAGTTTATGAATTGACTTTAGCTCGACTATCCACTCCTGTGTCTTAAAGTGGACCTATCATGCTATATTTTAATTATATAGTGTAGGACCATACCTATATAAGGCATATTTATTTTTTTTCAAAATACCAAACAGATCATGCATTTTAGCCATGCCTCATTTTGCTCAATTTGACATTTTTTTGCTCTGTTTTTGCAAGGGTAGATTCAGTGATAACAGCACCATCTACAGGCCTGGCATATGTACTACAGCGTCTCCAGCGCTTTCGAACGGCAATGGCCGTGGCTGTCTCCTCCTGATTGGTGGAGTTGGCCCAATAGCCGTAGCGCCACTGTCCTGACGTCAGGACAGTGTTCAAATCTGGATCAGTTTTTATCAGATCCGTTGCAGCCCCTTTTTTAGAGATTTGGGTATGGAGGAAAATAGAGAGGGTTGTGTTTTCTGACACTTGGTGAGTTCCCTGGAACACCGGGGACACATATTCATGTATAAAAGACGTACAAAAGTGCATTTTGCATGATGGGTCCCCTTTAAGGAATTTAGGAGCTGCTGAGCTTCCTGATTTGTCAGGAAAATATGTAGTTTGAACTTAATAATTCAAAGCTAAGTGTTTTTTATTTATAAAGTGTAACAAGTACTGTGGATGTTTAACTTAACAAATTGTATGTACCATGATAATTTTATGGCGTCATATCCGTCTACAGGAGCTGACAACATCAAGAAATATTGGAGTCGTTACTACCAAGGATCACAGGGCGTAGTCTTCGTATTGGACAGTGCTTCATCGGATGAGGAGCTCGAGGCAGCACGGAACGAGCTCCACTCGGCCCTGCAGCACCCGCAGCTCTGCACACTGCCCTTCCTCATCCTCGCCAACCACCAGGACAAGCCTGCAGCGAGGACGACCAACCAGGTAACCTTATTCCATTTAATTTCGCAAATGTGTCCCTGGCGAAGGGCCAGGTGCTTATCTTGTCAGTACCTGCTACCACTGTTGAAGTAGGTTGTCATGCTAAAGAGGGAAGCTTTGAGGCTTGGTTTGCCCAACAGATTTATGAAGCAGCAGACTAGAATTTGGAGTCTAGAAGCTTCTGTTGTCGCACGAGCAAACTTGGAAGCAGTTTGGGAAGTTCACAAAGATGGCCTGTTGGTTTTCCTTGATTGGGGATATTACTGGACAGTGTGGAAGGAACACTTGAGCAACTTCCGAACACGACACACATGCCTCTTTCTGGAAAGGGCAAAATTGTAGGACTAATAACCTTTATGTTTTTCACAGAGGTTACACATAACCAGAAAGCTCCCAAGGGAAAGGAACCAGGAGTAGAAAAGAGCTTTTCTGAGATGTACCCTGGTCATCTTCCTGTACACTGGTCATCTTCCTGTACTACAAAGGAGACATTAGGCGCGTTCACACCGGAGTACTTTTCCGACAATAGTTAATCAGAACTCAGATATATTTGCGTTCACACCAAAAAGCCCCAGGAACTAAATTAGTTCATCAGAACCATTTTTACCCCCTTTTCAGTCCCTGCTAGAGAGCAGGGACTTTCGTGGGAGAAAAAGGTTCCTATGTCTGATTGGCTGGAAGGAATGCAAACCACGCCCCGTAAAACTCCCAAAACATTTTGTGAAGCCGCCATTTTATTATCCTCGCATTAGCATTATTAGCATTAGCATTCGCCCAGCGCAGAAATGCAGAGAGACTAACTTATGGCAACACAAAAGAAAACATGGGAGCGGTGGAGATGCGGAGGTGTCGACGTTCTGGCGATTTACTCGAAAGGCTTCAGTAGAAGCTGCTGGGAGTCCCAGCAGCTTCTACTCAAGCCAGTCCCCAACTCCGGGGACTTCCGGCCGGGGACTTCGGGTGGCAGTATCCGCCGTGAAGTTGTTTGTGGCCTGCCAGTAAACCCAAAGCAGAAGAAGAAGAAGTGACGTCAGCGGCTTCATTTGCCTAATCCACCCCCAGGAACTCATTGCGGTGTGAACGCGATCTGCTTTAGTTCATCAGAACTAAAAGAGTTCTCATGAACTATTGTGGGAAAAGAACTTGGTGTGAACGCCCCTTTTGAATGGCTGAAATGTAGTTCTGTATGTAGTGACTGAAAGGATAAGGTTATAGATACAAGTGGCAGAAATGCATTTACCTTCTAGGGTGTCTTTGACCACAGTCAAGAACAATAAAATAAATGTAAACATTCAAAATGATCTTTCGGGATCCAGCATAGCTCTAATTTCAGTAAATTCATCTTATTTAAATTTCCACTCCAGTTTTAGCCGTCTTTTTTGACTGTGACATTCTAATCCTCTCTCTAATCCAAAATAAAGTTGATATGTTTTCAATGCAGTACCCAGGAATCAGATGTAGTATTTCCTTTTGTTCAAGTGACCATCTGCAAAGGTGAGTTCCTGTAGAGAGGGTCATCTTCGTTTCTTGGTCTAGACCTCCAGTGTTGCTGTTCTAGACGTTCTGTACCAGATTCTGTTGTGACCCAAACTAAATGCAATTGAGGGAAACCTCCCCTCTAGTCTGTTTTACCTATCAGTATGGATTGGTTGCACTCAAGCAGTAGCGGCTATAGTCACGCTTAAAGTGTGACGTAGCCAATTAATCCAGTCTGTGAGCGGCCCACACTCGCCCTGCGGCCTTAGCGTGATGTGTCCTCTGCCATGTTTGACCCATCATTGCATCAGTCTCTCCAAGTATTGAATTTCTGAACTGTTTGCAAACAATGGTGACACATGAGATTGGCTCATGTCGCCTAAAGGCCTTTTGTCAGCCGATTGGGAGGGTCATTTCTGTTCGTAATGAATGACTTACATAATGTGAGTTGATGAAGTTGGCAGAGTTTAGTGATGTCAGTACTGAGGCAATTGTTTAATACTGTCTACTTCTATTATTATTATTCATACATCCTGTTTAGAGACAAGCTAACAGGTCATGTTCTTGCAGATGAATGTCATCTGTTGCCATCAGGGCGTAGATATGCTCTACCTGCTCTTAAGACAAATCGCTTTTCAAAATCATTCATCCCCTCTGCACTCAAACTTTTAAATTCTTGAAAGGCTTTTAACTTGATTATTCATTTATTTATTTATTTATTTATTATTGTGACGCTATGAACTATTTATCGTGTAAATTGGAATGATCCACATCTCTGCTGCCGGGTGTATCTGTGTGCTTTCTTCCTGTATGTTCCTGCCTGTGTATATGACCTAAGCTGCTCATAACCAATTGCCCCTTGCGGGATTAATAAAGTTGATTGAAAAGCTGTTGCTTATAATCAACTGTCATTAGTGTCAGAAATATTTAATTATTTTGTTTATTTTGATAATTTGATTGACAGTCAATAGTATACTTTTACAGGAGTCTAGACCACAGAACTGGTTGCACTGAACTCAGTTGTTGGTACAAAAGAGATACTCTTATGTGGAGTGGTTTACTAAGTTGGTGTAAATTCTTTGTAATTTGTGTGTTTTAATTGACATGGTCATAATGAGTGCCTTTTGAGTCATGGCTGTGTCACTGAAGGAGTTTAGTGTTCACTGACTCATAAGTAATCTCTGCTGAGATTAAACAACATTGTTTCCTCTATACAATACTGTATGTCAAGCTCATGAACGTAGTAATAACCTGTGCTTGTTGTCATTAAAAACAGTCTGGCTTCAGGTAATATCATGTGTCACAATTTTAAGAAATAAAATGTAAAAATGTACGAAATAGTAAGACCACTCAACCACTGGAGAGTGCAAGAGGGCAAACCCTCTATATGTTAACCAAACATTTGCTCAGCATCCACAGGGGTCTCTTCCTGGAGTTTATTTTCAGTTCTCCCAAGGTTCCCAAGTGTTCACTTCAACTTCACTTTAGAGCAGCTTTCATCTCTTTTATGGGACTTTACATCTTGGAAAGATATAGTATTATAAAAATAAAATAAGCTTAACATTAAAGATCACTCAGTCCCCTCTAGGTACTTATTAATGCAAAGTGCTGCTGAAACATAGAATGACTCTGTTTAGCCTAAAGTGGTTTTGTATGTTTCCATGGAGTGGCGATTGTACATTTACATTTCTGTGCCAGTTTCCCAATATAGCACCCTGTGAATTCTTTAAGGTTTTTTTTGTTTAATAGCAGATAGTAAAAAAGCAGGTCAAAGCTTTTGTTTTCCATCATTTCTCCAGCATGATCTCCCAAATGGCAATACTACCTTCAATCTATTTCATTATTATGCTTTTAATTATGTTTAATTAGTTTGTTGTACATTTATGACTATGTTGCCACAAACTGCTGATAGTAGCCTTCACTTACATCATAACTGAACCAGCTTCTTAATTGTAAATATAAGGATGTGCTGTTAATGATAGTTATCAAGCCAGATCTACCAACTTGTAAGGTACATTGTTCTTAAGGCCCCTAACTGTTGTAAGGTTTGTTTTAGGAAGTTAGGGAATATTTATGTCTTCATATAACTTATTGATGACGCTTGTCAAAATGCTCCACTGTAGAGCAGAGTTGCTTAATATTAAATGAAAGTGACACTAAAAGTACCAATAGCCCTGGCCTTTGTGATCCAGTGTAAGTGCAGTGTGTCTTCTCAGCTGAGGATAAAAGCACAATTAAAGAAATGCCACTTCCCATTTCCAAGAGTGTATCATCCTCTGGGTTGTTAGAAGCATGGCATCAGACCTCAGAGTGAACTCGAAAAAGTGTCAGATTATGAACACGGTGTCCAGCTGCACTTCCGAACACAGTAATCTCGCACAGTAACACTCATTTATTTAGGCTATGTGCGCTTGAACTGTGAATTACCTCTGATTTTTTGGCATAGCTGCTTTAGCTGATTTTCCTTAGGGGTCAGGAATAGTGTATTTTGAATGAGCATAAATGACATGATGCATATTAAATTAAAAAAACTTAAAAATGAGAATGAAGCATCACCATGAACCCTTCAGTTTCAGCTTGTCCTAGCTTGCATGAAAATAGCAGAAAAGTGGCTCAGGCCTTAGGCATGTATTTCTTTTGCAGGACCGACAAACCTCAAATGCACATGTTTCCTTTAAAGGTCTCATGTACAACACCATATATTTCCAGTACGTTATCTTTTCATTATTTATTAGAATTTCCATTAGTAAAAAAAAGTTCCAGCAAGGGTCAGTGCACATTGCTCTGGGCCAGTGGAGCTACTTTGCAGAAACTTTTGCCTCAGAGAAGCTTTACACTCATTAGGTCATCACAAGGTTAGGACAGGAACAGCACACATTTTGTACATTTGGGAAAAGGTATGTATTTTTAAAGCAAAGTTTGAACAGAGAAGAATGGTAAATTGAAGTAATATAAAATAATTTTAACAATGTTACATTTAGAAGTTGAAACAATCCTCTCTTTATAATCTTGGCCTTTCATATTCTGCATGTATAAGTAAGAAATCTGAAGGTAAATTGTTACAAAATATATCAACATACGGGAAAAGCAGGTAATTTAAAAAAGCACATTTTCTTTCCTGAATTAAGGTTGTAATCCTGTTTAAGATTACTGTAATCGGTAACGAAATAAATAATTTTTTAGCTAGTCGTAGCCTTTAATCCGCTGTAACAATTTGCTCCGGAAACATCAGTCTGGTTACATCGCAAGTAATCCCTTTGAAATGTTAAACGATTTTAGAATGTCAAGCTATGATTATTAGACGGGTCACTTTAAATTAAAACAAGAAGTCGTATCTAAGATTTTGTATATAGGATATGGGATGCATGGAACTGGTTTCACTGGGTCCCTCTCACATCCAGAACTGTTTTTGTTTTGTTGCAGTATATGTGAACACAGTTCAATTCAAACAGGTGTCCTGAGATTGAATTTGACCTGCCCTTAAATGTGACCACATGCTGAAATATATATTTATAATAATGATACCA